GTTGACCCCTTTTGGAAATAAATTTACGCTGAATGCAATGAAGTTCAAAGGAAGAGAATGCTACTTATCCCAAAGTTTTGAACAGAAAACCTTTAAAGGCAGAAATGGATCATTCTTTTTATAAAGAGCTTAGAAAGATGACTCAGATGGATAGTATTTCTAGTGCTGCATAGCCTACTCTCTGTGTGCCACCTCACCTTTTGTACTTTATTTTTTATAAGTTTTATTAATTTTTTTAAAATTATAATCTTTAGAGTTTAGTAAACAACATATTGTCTGGGTTCACATATTTAACTTTAACTTCTTCAATATAAATCTATTCAATACTGCACAATCCAGTATTTTTTCCTTGATCCTCCTTTATTCCCCATATTTTTTCCATTTCCCCCTCATGAGACAATTACAATTCTTGGTACTATTGGTGTATACAAAACTAGATATAGATATCTTCATCATATTTTACTAATATTATACAAACAACAATAATATTGATTCATAAGTCAATATCCGAACAACTATGTGAACAATATGTGAACAACTAGAAGCTAACATTTATAACTAAAGACTTCTGGTTTTGTGCGGTAGAGCATGGTCATGGGATTATGAAGTTCTGCTTCCCGCATCTCTTTTTATCCTGCCAGGGAACCCTAAATGGGTCTAAAGCCGCTTGAAAGAGGCAGCGAAGAAAGAGGGCTGCCCCAGCGATCCGGGAATGATGGCAGTCTTCCCGTTCAATCTGGGAATTTTTGTCCTGTTTAATCTGAGAATTCCCTCTAACCCAACAGGAGAAAGGCTGGCCCCACCTCAGTAACCAGCCCAAGCTACTTGCAACCGAAGTCCACAGGTACTCACCAGAACATCGGTGAACAGCGTGCTGAAACTGGGTGAGAAATTTGATCTTCTCTCTCCTACTCTATATCCTGAACTTTTGGAAAAGATACCCAAAGAAGCAAAAAAGCCTCTGAAAGTGAAAAGGAGGGGGAACTTAGCCCCACCCTCCCACAGAAGGAAGCGGTGAATTAAATTATTAAGGGGGCAAGAAACATACTGTTGTTGATATCTAGTTGTGAAAGAGAATATATAACTTTAGCTGCTTTGTTATAAGTATTGACAGGATGCCCAGAATGAGATGACCTGCTTCTTTGATCCTTAAAAAGAGCTAAACAAAACATTCTGGGCCAGTCACAATAAGCAAAGACTATAATTACAAAAAAAACCCAAAACCCATAACTGACCTTCCTGGATGATAAACACCTATTGACTGTGCCTTTAAAGTTGTTTTCAGAGAAAGAAATTTTTTTGAGTTTTAGCTATTATGGAATCTCAGGAACTTGCAAAAAGAACTTTCAAGAAAAACCAAATACTTTCCAGGAGGAAATGCTTGCTATGTTGCAATTAATCCAAACAACAATGTCTCTACACCACAATGAAATTAAAAACAATTTTGATGACATAAATGGACATATCTCTATGTTACCCTCACAACATAAGAATTTTCAGAAAATGAATGAATATACCAATGGATGGGATTGTGATTCAACACAGATGGAGGAAAACAAACAAAATGTGACTGAAGCACCAGAACTGGAAGAGATAGTCCACACCCCAGAATCACAAAACAAAGCCAAAGATAAGAAGAAAAGCCTGACAAAATGGATCACAGAGATACTAAAAACCTATGACTTGAGAGACAATTTTTTTTTAAAAGATACCAACATCTTACCTGATCTGCCTCTACCATTCTTAACAACATCCACAAGAAAATGGCAAGACTTTTTAACTAAGTGGAATAGATGGATGAGAAAAGCCGTTTGGCGAAAGAAAAAGACTAAAATCAGAACCAAGGGATCAGAAGATTGGACCTATCAGAAGCAATTTTTAAAGATTAAGCATTTGTTTTAATATGGTTAAAATACAATATGGACTACTCAACCAGTAACTATTGAATGGAATAGAGTTAAAAGATTTTTTTCTGATATCAGAAAGGTAACTGTCTTATTAGATGCAATTTGTAAGTATCTGTTTGAATATGGTTAAAATATAATATGGATTACTTAATTAGTAAATATTGAATGGAATAGAGTTAAAAAATGAAAAAAATGGGAGATATAAATGAATTTTAGTTTGAGAGAGATATGTTTTTCTTTTTCTTCTTTCTTATTCTGAATAGTATTGTATTTTTTTTTTATGATATGAGAAATGTAATTGTTGGGAGGATTATTGTGAGGGAAACAGCCTAGATATTTAACCATAAATCAATTTTGAGAAAATCTTAACAGATAAAAAAATGATTTCAATTTTGTGGGGGAAAAGTCTAAATGAGAATGTTTAGATGATACAGACTCTATTCCTACTCACATAGAATGTGGCTCAACATACCTAATCTAGTAAATAAAGGATATTGATGACCTCAACAATTTGAACTGAATTATGGCTGGCAATTAGGTACCCTGTACACTCACAGCTCTTTTTTTCTAATTCAACAGCAATTTCTGTACCAGCTAACATTTAGACATATTTTTCAATTCTTGAATCACTACTTAGTTGTACCAAAAGCTAATCTTCTGGTTGAGTGATTCTGCAGCACATAGCTAATTATTTCTTTTAGAATTGTTTATGTTTTCTGTTACCTTGTCTACTTTAGGACATCTAAAGTATTATTAGATTGCAAACTCAACCAAATTCATTGTAAGAAAGTTAATGATGCCAAAAACACATATCACTCTCCATTAAAAAAAATGAAGTTGAAAAAGACTCAAAAGACAGGTATCAGGATAGAAAGGAATAAATATAAAAAAAAGTTGACATGCACAAGAGGGACAGACCTGTTCCATTCAAAACTAAAACAAAAGGCCTAAAATTAATGAAATGTGATTTATAATAAATATTAGGAGGAATTCTCTAACAGATGTGAAGCAATGGAAAAATCTGCCTAGAACAGTAGAGGACTTTCCCACTCTAGAGTTTTCCAAATATAGGTTACATAGCCACTTGTTGGAAATGATTTAGGGAATTCCTGCACTGAGCAGCAGCTGGGATTGGATATTTAAAGGTCCTTTCCAACCCAGACAGTCTATATCAGGGGTGTCAAACTGCTGGCCCATGGGCCAGTTGCATCATGGGGAGGCCGCACCCACCTCAGCTCCGGCAATGTGAAAAAAGTTGTGATATGTCACGAAATGTCACTTGACATGGCGATTTTGACACCCGTGGTCTATATTATGACTGTATTTTTATCCTCAGCATCATTACATGATTAAGTTAGCATTTGACTTACCCAATTAGTCTGTTTCATCTTTTGTAAGTCAATTTTGTTCAGTGTTATTATAAATATGACTCTTACTATACAAGAGTTCATTTCTGACATGCAATATTGTAACTTTCTGTATTCTGAATGAACAGAATAATAGATGCAACCAATTTTTGAATTTGATCTTTTAAGACAGAAAACAGCACCACCAAGACTATTATTGTAAAGTATCATTAGACACTGCTTGGCCATTCCACCTTTGGTAACAAATGTCAGAACTGTTTCCTCGAACATTCAGAGACTCTTGACAAATTGAAAATTGGATATTTATTATATGCAAGAAACTCTGAGTGCCCTTAAGTGTTGAAAATGACCTGAGATATGACACAGGAACATCTTCAGGATGGTAGACAAGAAAACAACTGCAACTGTGTAGACACTGATTTTCACATATTTTGTATGTTATACCTGTTAAAGGGGTGGGGCCTTAATTCTAAAATTAAAGGCTCCATTTTTATTTTTATGACCACTCCCATGCAAATACCTCCTGGGGTATGGTTGCTGTTTAATATAGTTCTAATCTAAATAAGATTAGTTAGTGTAAAAGAAGATAGAAATGACCTTAACATGGATGAACACCAAGAGGTTAAAGTAACAGCACCTTGATTTTGTTTGGTATAAAGTAGGGCAGGCAGAAATTCTGATAGGTTTTCAAAATATCGTTATTATGCAATAATAAAGTAGCCTTCCCAGAATCCTTGTAGTATCTGTTTTCTGACTTGGTCTAGCTAGCTGAAGAGAAAATATCAATCTTGCCATTTTACATAGTAGTAATAATAATAATAATAATAATAATAATAATAATAATAATACTGCTTCCATCCTGCGACGATATCTGTAATACCATCAAACATCCACATCTGCCTATCCCAGGTCCTGGGTAAGGACTCGATAGGTAGACAAAATGCCAAATCCAGTCTGAACATCTGGCTGACTGTGCGATGATCCATAATAATAATAATAATAATAAAAAAAATAAAAATAAAAAGTTGGAAGGGATCTTGGAGGTCATCTAGTCCAACTCCTGCTCAGGCAGGAAACCCTATACCATTTCAGACAAATGGCTGTCCAGTCTCTTCTTAAAAACTTCCAGTGTTGGAGCATTCACTGCTTCTGGAGGCAGGTTGTTCTACTGGTTAATTGTTAATGAATCTGTGTAAAAGTCAGAACTTTCTCATCCAAATATCATCCAGGCCACCGAGAAAACACAAGACTTCAAAGGAGGACGAGGTTTCAGTTTGAGTGTTGATCTTATGTTTTATCCATTTCTTCCTCAAGGTCATTTCTGCATTCCTTTACCATTAGTAATGCTTTTAACCATCCCAGTCAAGATGGCCAATGATCAAGGATCATAGGAATTTTCATATTAAGCAAATGGTGGCACAGTGTGGGCAAAACTAAATTTACTGCCAATAGATGCAGTTTTATAATGTTCTCTGGAAAAACTGTGATATTTAAAAAAACAAAGGAGATAAAAAACAATGTAATATTTAATATTATCACCCCAAGGAGAAAAAAATGCCACCTATATATCACTCATATTAAGAAAAAGGTTTATTGAAAGCAGTAGCGGTAAAATCCAATGCTTGCAACAGTTAAACAAGTATAAATGAACTAAATGTCTGTCATGAATGAAGGCAAATATACGTGTCCCAGGATAATGTCGCAGGATCCAATCTGGATCTGTTACCTGGATCAGAGGTTTTCAGTCTTCTGTGCTTTCTGATTCATGCTGGAGCCCGTCTTCAAGGAACTTCTCTCTAGCAGAGTCTGTGCTGTTCTGTGTGTGGTATTTATAGTGCCTGTTGTAAGTGGCTTTTTAGATGTTAATTAGGGTGTGTTGATGGCTGGCTTTTAAGTCATTAGCTGTCCTTTGCTTGTGCTGCCCAGCCTTCACCTTCTAAGGACTTGGTAAGGTGGTGATAAAACATGTCTGTCCCAGAATTCCATTGTCATGGCCAGTAATGGGACAAACAATCTATACAGCCTTTCCACTGCCATTACTATTTCCTAGCTAAATAAATATGTAAGGGAGAAAAAAAGAGAGCAGCTATGTATATTCATGCTCCTCATCTCTTTGGTATTTTCATATCCCAAACAGTAGTGGATGAGACTATCAAAACATTTTTGTACATTACTCCCAAATACTAGTTATGATCATTAGCTTTCTTAAGTGATAATATATTTCAGTTTACTTCTACCCAATATATTCTTTCCAAGTTTTGTCACACACACACACACAGATTTATTTATTAAATTTCTATACTGCCCATATCAGTAATTTGGCAACTCTGGTTGGCTTACAATATAGTAAAAATTTAATAAGTGTTAAAATTATTAAAAATGGGAAAAATGAATAGAGAAGTTAACTATTAAAAGACCAAAATGATGGTTATCCTGGGGGCAAGAAGCTTCTCTATTTTTCTATGGGAAACAAATTCCACGAACCGGACATGATTTTCAATTTGCTGCTTTCTATTTCTTAGAAGAAACTGTGTTACTTCAAATGTCAGATCTGAACCATGTGATAAATGAGATTACTGTAAAAAGAAGCATTAGCACAATGTAAATATGGTTAATTGTCACTATTAGCTGGAAAATAGGCTTTTGATTCCCAGTAAATCATAGCATTTCAAGAAAATCTGACAAGACTAAACTAAGAATGTTTTAATCATAGCCTTCTTCCATTTATGATGCAGGCGAGGGAAGACGCCTTTAGCTACAAACAAAGCATTTTTCTTGAAACAGAGTTTTTGAGGAAAATAAGATTTTGACCAGCTCTGATAGTTACTTTTCAGCATTGAAACTTCAAATTATTTTCAAGGAATAGCAGCTTGCTATATCATTATAGAGAGAGTACATCGTTATATTGTATGTGTCACTTTTCTCAAGAGAATACAAAAGAAAAATAAAAAGGGCACATCAATGTGAATTTGGAGAAATTCCACATGTCTGTTGGAGATTATTTTTAAATACAACCCCAGATGCATGTTTACTTCCTGTTCTGTTAGATACTAGCTAAATCTTAAATTATTGCATGCTCTCTAAAGTTGGAAAGATTTAATCTTTAGAAATGGACAATAATTATAGGAAGCATTTAAAGCCATTGATTTAAAAATGGAGGAATAAATAGCAAGTGTTTGATTGCAAGCATCACATTTTCACAGGGTGTTTGCATTATTTTATAGTGACAATATGACAATATGTAGGCAGCATCTACTTTAGTTAGAGAAATGACCTTGATGTTCTTCATGCAAACATCTTGGCAACCAATCTACCCATTAGTCTGCACCTATGACAGGTCTGCAAATGAAGCAAAAGTGGGAGAAATGTGCATCCACAGAGATCACATTTTCACTTGGTAATGCTGATGTTTCCAAATCCCTGTGACCTTTTCTCCTTCCGAATGCAATCTGTTTCATTTGCAATAAATAAAGTTGGATTAATACTATAATTAGCAAGAAAATGTAACCTGAGATTTAGACAACCTATTTTTCTTTAAGAGCACCATTTAGTAAAAAAAAAAAAGAAAGAAAAAAGGTCTTTGGTATGACTGGGGATCCCATCTGTTCCACTGCTATTGAAGGACTTGTTTGTGACTCTGTGGGTGTAGAATTTCTACAACAGACAGTTGCTTGAAATGAGCAGAAAAAATACCTGTGGGCAAGTAACAGTAATTTTGACATTTCCCACTTACAAGGAAGAGTTGGGTTAAAATTTCTGACTGTAAAATTAGATCTCCCTGATGCTAATCTTTTTCTTTTTCCACAGAAGGTATCAAAGGTAGACCTAAGGAAGCTGAGGATGAAGAGAATGAGGAAGCTACTTGGAATATAGAGGGACAAAAAGTGTTTTTCACAGTATGAGAGAATTGAATGCAGTGACTGCTGTCAGGAAGTATGAAAACTGGGGTTTTGCGGAATGTTGTAATGAAAATGAATAAGAAAAATTGCATGCAAAGCAATGATTAGTGCAAAACATGATAAGAAAAAGAGACTGTATTAGTTCTTATTGTTATTCTAGTTGGTTGCATAGTCAGCCAGAAGTTTAGACTGAATTTGACATTCTTATCCACCCATTGAGTAAATGCCTATTACTATAGATGCTATCTTTGCTTTCTTTTGCCACAGTCATTCTACAGGTCTCTGTATTTTGTAATTTTCTCCAGTTCTTTCTTTTCTATTTTGCTATCTTCAGGTACTGCTACATACACTATCCAGTATCCATTGTTTTATTTTACTTTTGTCTTTCTTATTAACAGTTGTTAAGTCTGGGGTGTTATGTGGCTGATTATTTTCTATTTTATTTCTGAAGTCCCAGAAAACTTTAGTTTTTTCATTTTCTGTTAGAGTCTGTAGTCTGTCAACATTGCTGTCTGGATGAAGGGCATAATTCATTGTTATTTTTTGGATGAAGGGCATAATTCATTGTTATATCTTCATATCTAGGGCCTCTAGCTCTGTTTGAGTCCATTTTATTATTTCAGCTATGTATCTAATGACTGGAATTGCCTAGGCATTAATTGGCTTAATGGTGTTTCTTCTACTGAATTTGGACTTTAACATCTACTTCGGTCTCACTTCTAACCTTCCTCTTGATTTTAGTATGCTTTATACTGTCAGCTTGAAGAATGCCCATGTATTTATAGTGATTCTCTTCACTCAGACTCTTGATTTCTGTAAGGCATCTTGATTCCTTCAATTTGCACTATTTTTTTCTCTGTTGATGGTGAGGGTTGTACATTTGTCCAGTCAAAATTCCATTATAATATCCTATATAGAGAGACAATGTTGAGCAGTGCTTCTATTTCAGATGGTAGTTTTTCTATACAGCTTCAGTAAATGGAGTAGCCTGGCAGATGTTTTTGATAGTCCCAGTCTGATTTGCTCAGTATTGTTGTCAGAGGAATCAATGCAATGATAAACAATAGTGGTGATAGCGAGTCTCCTTGAAAGATTCCTCTCTTGATGTTAACCTCTCCCAGTCTATCAACATTGACCAGCAACATTGTCTTTTATTGTGTCATTGATCTTTACACAAAGTTTCTGATATTGCCATTGACTCCTGTTATTTCTAGACACCTCCATTCTTTTCCAATTGCCTCTTCTTTTTGGATTTTATTTGTAGTAAACAAATCAGATCATTATTTCTGTGTTTTCAATCTTTGTATATTTGTGATGGATAAACAACTTTTCTTCCAGTAGCCCTGTAGCTGCTGGCCTTAGTTGCTCAGCCAACAATCCTGAGCCCTTTAGCCCATTTGTCACCAGATGTCCAGGAACTTCGACATCTAACACAGTCTTTGTTGATCTGGGTGATGATTGATCCGGTATACGTTTCTGAAAATTACTGTATGTCTACCATATTGTTTATGGGACAGGCACTCTTTGTCTAGCTCCTCTGATGAGACCTGCCCAGTGTGGTTGAACACAATGTGCAAGCCTCACAACTATATCAAGATAGTGCTTCACTAGATGATAATGATGACAATGTTTTTAAATGTATTGACCATCAAACTCCACTATACTTTGGATAACTGCAGAATGAATCAAAGCCTGCTAACTGATGGACACAGCATTGCAATCAAACATGCATCCCCTTGTATGTATATAATCATCAAACACATGAAGAAAAGGGGCAAGGTTTTGGATCTGATGCACCCCTGTCTTCTTGCAAATTCTTGTAAAGCTCCCCTTCCTCAACAGACTCCCAGCTTTTGTACAAGGCATAGAGAAAGATAGAAAAAAATATAGCTTCAAAGTAAGTAAGTAATGGTTAAGATTTAAAAAAAGTACTCAATGTTAATGGAAATAAAATGTTATTTTGGAAATATGTGAAAAGGAGTAAAGGGGAAGCTCCTAGAAGAGTAAATTCATTTAAGAACAAAAGTAGTAAAATTATTTGGAAAGAAACTCAAGTAAGGAAAAGCTGGAAGGAACATTTTAGATATTGATACTAGTATGCAGAAGAGTAGATTTCACATCAGAGAAATAACATTAGTGTTCACAAAAATACATAATGAAAAGATAATAATAAATGCTGTATGAATGGTGGAAAATGCACCAGGTATTGTTAATACAATTAAAGAAAATTTTAAAATTTGAATGCAGTTTTGCTTTTGGAATAATACATGAATTGCTTAACATGTATGTGAAACATGTAGCTATGCTTGGAAGAATAGCATTATTGATGCATTCTTACATGAAAGAAAAGAAGACTCAGTGTAAAAGCTGCTAAATATGCCTATGGCAAAATTCTGATTGAAATAATATCAAAACAAATAATGTGTAAAAAGTACAATATAGTTTTATGCATGACAGGAGATATGCAGATCAATTTCTATTCTTCAGCATTGAGAAATATGTGAATGTGAGTTGAGGGTTGGTGGCTGAATGTGATAACAGCAGGACATGATGGAGATAAAGAAAAAGAAGCCTAAGTCTAAATGGAATGCTTAATGAATGATTCAACATTGAGCAGGGAATAAGATAATGCTGTGTGATATTCTCTGCATTGTTTAATGTATTTATGGATAAGCAGGGATGCTTATGGTGCTACTATATGTGTACAGGTCAAGGAACTGTATGTGTTTTTATTTGCAGATGATATCAAGTTGCTGGTGGAGAAATGATTAATATCAAATACTTCAAAGACTGTCTGGTGCAACAATATATAAGGTTCAGTACATTGCTGTGTCAAAGATCAAAATAGTTTTGTTTGTTAAGGACAATGAAGTAAACTATTGTTATAGTTCCACACAACTGGTAAAAAATTA